CTTAAATAGTTTGAGTCCGTTTGTGTTATTATATTTACAATTCCACATTATGTGTTGCGCATTAAAATCACCAGCTACAATAACTCTTGGATTTAAGTTAAATATTTTATGTAAGTCTGCATGCAATAGTTTTGCAGAAGGAACATATATGGAGACAATAGTTATTTTACGTCCTTTATTGAACACATTTATAGCAGTAATTTCAGAGTGTTTTACAGATAATAACGGTCAATTTTTTTAGTTTTTATTTCTGTTTTATTACAATATATTACAATATAATATACAATAACCATGATTTATGAGTTTACTACTAAAAGTATTTTACTCTTATTTAATACTACAAACTATCCACTTTAAATTATACATTTTGTTTTAAAAATAAAATAATGGTTTGTGATCGAAAAAAAAGAAAGTTCAAACATTCTTCAAAAAAAAATCACAATCTTTAAATATATATTTAATTTACATTCTTCAAATTATTAGATACTCTTATTTGTGTTGTCCAGAATGTAGTTTGGCATTGGATATTTGCCGTACCATATGATATCAGGCGTGTACTGTCCGAGGGTTCTAATATTATTATTGGTATGGTCTTTGCATTTTTCGTAGAAGTTTTCCGTCATTTTCTTAATGTGGTTAATCACAGTCGGTATGTCTGCTTGTTCGTGTAAGAGCTTTGTTGAGTAGTAGTGTCCGGTAGTTGGGTCACGTATCAAGTTCAGTATTAGTCTCAGTGATTTGTTTTGTAAAATTTGTAGTTTTTTAATATTTGTCCTCGATGTCATGTTCCATATTGGGGCAGCATACATCAGACATGGCCTGATCAGCGTTAGATATATTCTTCTTTTATTACGCATATTTATACACTCTTTGTGTCAATAATGGTCTTAAAAGATTCAGAAGCCCATATGTTTGCGCCAATTTCTTTTTTATATGTGTATTGAAGTTAAGTTTCCTATCAAGCGTTACTCCTAGGTACTTAACTTCATCTGTCCATTTAATTTTTGTCCTGAAAATTTTATTTCTATAGGCTTTTCTTTCAACTTATTTCCTTTCAAAAAAATTATTGCTTCCGTTTTTATGGGATTTACTTTTATGTGCCATTTTTCTGCATATTTTGCTATATTATCTATGTGATTTTGTAGCTTGTTAGCTATCAACGCTACTGATTTGATGATGTGAACACAGCAGTATCGTCCGCAAATGTTAATGTATTTGTTTTGCTGTCAGTAGGGATATCATATATATATGTATTAAACAATGTTGGTCCTAGCAAGGATCCCTGAGGCACTCCAGCTACTATACGTTTAGGATTTGAAAGATTATTATTTACTTTAACCTGAAATGTACGATCTTTAAGATATGAAATGATGACTTTTGTTATGTAATGTGGAAATTGTAAATTTATTAATTTATACAACAGTCCATCTGTCCAAATTGTATCGAAAGCTTTTTCAAAATCTATTAGTACAAGACCAGTGTGTGTCTTTTTGTTAAAATTTAGTACAGTATTTTCAACTAGCTGTGCTAGTGGATGAAGAACTGAATGCTCATGTTTGAAACCATATTGCGTTTTCTGGTATGATATTATTAACACTTAAAAATTTATTAAATCGAACAAGCAGTATTTTTCAACTACTTTGCTTATTGTATTCAATAGACTTATAGGTCTGTAGCTTTGTGGTAGATTTGGTTGTTTTCCTGGCTTTAATATTGGTACCACATTAGAACATTTCCATGACACAGGAAAGTATCCATTTTTAAAAATTTTATTTGTTATTCGTGTAAGTAGGATAAAAGCTTTAATAGGTAACTGTTTAATTGCTAAGTTCTGTATACCATCTGGTCCTGGAGCTTTCTTATTAGACAGTTTCTTAATAATATTTATAATTTCCGCAACAGTTACTATCTCTATTTTGTGATTTTTGTTATAAGTATTGTTTATATATTGTCTTACACTGGAACTAACAGTCTGTTCAAAAGCATTTTGAGTGATAGAAAGATTGTACTGATGTGCTAATTCGAAGTTAGATGCTAAAATTTCGGCCTTTTGTTCGGGCGTTGTTGCAAAGTTATTAGAATTTGTATGTAAATATGGTATGGGAGTAAAAGTTTGGGTCAGTCTTTTTGCAGTGTACCAAATTTTATTTGGATAATAGTTAATATTTGTTAGTTTATCAGCCCATATTTTATTACGATAAACCCTAATGTCCTCAGTAATTATTCTAGTAAGCCTGTTTAAATGTTCTTTGAGGAACGTGGCACCTGATTTTTGCCACAACTTTTTAATTTGATTTTTTAATTTAATTTGGATATAATTTCCAAAGGTAAACTAATTGTTTGTGTTGAAGTGGACTTTCGCAATGGAATGGTTTTACTTATGGCATCAGTAATAGTAGTTGTTAGGTGTTCTACAGCTTGATCTATACTATCATTGTTATCAATTTGTCTGTGTGACATATATTATCATTTTATTTTCTTATAGAGCAGCCAATTGGCTTTATTATAATCTAAAACATTTTTGTAGGATTGAGGATTGTCGTCAAGTGGGTTTGAGATACTTATAAAGACTGGATTATGATCTGAGTTAAATAAAGATTTGGTTATAGGTTCAGAAAGAATAGATAGATTTTTTGTAAGGGCTAAATCTATTGTACTATGGTCTTGATTTGGTATCGCAGGAAATCTAGTTGGAGTCTGAGGATAATGTAGTTGAATGGTATCATGGTTTTTTGTTTAAGTACTTAAATAGTTTGAGTCCGTTTGTGTTATTATATTTACAATTCCACATTATGTGTTGCGCATTAAAATCACCAGCTACAATAACTCTTGGATTTAAGTTAAATATTTTATGTAAGTCTGCATGCAATAGTTTTGCAGAAGGAACATATATGGAGACAATAGTTATTTTACGTCCTTTATTGAACACATTTATAGCAGTAATTTCAGAGTGTTTTACAGATAATAACGGTCAATAACACATTCTCCTAAATATAAAGAATGCATGTGCCTTTGCAGTATTTCGAAGCGTGCGGTATTAATCAATGTCGAATGCATTTATGTTTGGTGCCATCTCGTTATGTTTAATAATAACTGGCAGAATGACTAGTATTTCATCGTGTTCACAGTAAAATTTACTCATACGTTTCTTTAATCAAAATGTAACAATTATATATTAATTAATATTATTATTGTGTCACTATTTGAAATAAATATTAAAACTTTGGTCACCAAATTTTTTTCCAAAAAACTTTTTTTCCCAAAATTTTTTTCTCCCAATTTTTTTCCAAAAATTTTTTTTGACCAAAAATTATTTGCACTGTATCTAATTATTTATTTCAATAACCATAGGCAACGAAAATCGCAAAGTAATATTATTGAAAATTTTGTGTTAGAGGTTAACGGTTACATAGCAACAATTTTTTTGACCAAAATTTTTTTTCCAAAAATTTTTTTGTCCAAAATTTTTTTGATCAAAATTTTTTTGACCAAAATTTTTTTGATCAAATTTTTTTTCCCAAATTTTTTTGACCAAAATTTTTTGACCAAAATTTTTTTTCCAAAAATTTTTTTGACCAAATTTTTTTGACTAAAATTTTTTTGACCAAAATTTTTTTGACTAAAATTTTTTTCCCAAATTTTTTTTTCCCAAAATTTTTTGGACCCAAATTTTTTTGACCAAAATTTTTTTTCCCAAAATATTTTGACCAAATTTTTATCCAAAAATTTTTTTTCTCAATATTTATTTTCCAAAATTTTTTTGTCCAAAATTTTTTTTTTCCCAAAACTTTTTTGACCAAATAGTTTTTTCCAAAAGTTTGTTTAACCAAATTTTTTTTTCCCAAAATTTTTTTGACCAAAATTTTTTGAACTAAATTTTTTTTCCTCAAATTTTTTTTTCCCAAAAATTTTTTTGACCAAAATTTGGTGGCCTGTGTTGGCGTAAGTGGTAGAGTGATGGCTTCGTACCAAAAGGGTACCGAGTTCGAATCCTACCTCCATTTATAAAACGAAATTCAGCAGTACGACTAACGTTATTGTTGAATAACACTAAGTAGATATAACAAACTAACAGGTCATATGGCCAAAAAAAGGTTGGTTTGGTATGGCCTGTGTTGGCGTAAGTGGTAGAGTGATGGCTTCGTACCAAAAGGGTACCGAGTTCGAATCCTACCTCCAGTCATAAAACGGGTTTCAGCAGTACGACTAACGTTGTGGTATTTATCTATTGTTGAATAACACAAAGTAGATACAACAAACTAACAGGTCATATGGCCAAAAAAAAGTTAGATTGTTATGACCTGTGTTGGCGTAATTGGTAAAGTGATGGCTTCGTAGCAAAAGGGTACCGAGTTCGAATCACACCTCAAGGCATAAAACGGAGTTCAGCAGTACGACTAACATTGTGGTACTTGTTTATTGTTGAATAACACAAAGTAGATATAACAAACTAACAGGTCATATGGCCAAAAAAAAGTTAAATTAGTATGGCCTGTTGTGTTGGCGTAATTGGTAAAGTGATGGCTTTGTAGCAAAAAGGTACCGTGTTCGAATGATACCTCAAGGCATAAAACGGAATTCAGTAGTACGACTAATAACTTGTTTATTGTTAAATAACACAAAGTAGATATAACAACCTAACAGGTCATATGGCCAAAAAAACTTCGGTTGGTATGGCCTGTGTTGGCGTAATTGGTAGATTGATGGCTTCGTACCAAAAGGGTACCGAGTTCGAACCATACCTCAAGCCAAAAAGCGGAATGCGACTAACAACGTGTATATAATAAACTAACAAGTCATGAGGCTGCAAAAAAGCAGAATCTATGTGGCCTGTGGTGGCGTAATTGGTAGCATAATAGCCTTCGAAAACCCAATCCCTTAATAAATCTCGAATCATCCCCGAACAGGGGATAGGGAGGGTTGCGAACCCGTGCCCCTGTGGTTTCACCCCCTAAAAAGAAAGAGGGAAGACTATAAGCGAGTGACTCTGAATCTGAGAAATGGGTGGAAGAAGGAAGAAAAAAAGTGAGGTTAAGGGTTACATAGCAACGGTCGCTAGACAACGAAAATCGCAAAATAATTTTATTGAAAATTTTGTGCTTGAGGCTAACGGTTACATAGCAACGGTCGCTAGGCAACGAAAATCGCAAAATAATTTCACTGAAAATTTTGTGTTAGAGGTTAACGGTTACATAGCAACGGTCGCTAGGCAACTAAAATCGCAAAATAATTTTACTGAAAATTTTGTGTTTGAGGCTAACGGTTACATAGCAACGGTCGCTAGGCAACGAAAATCGCAAAATAATTTCACTGAAAATTTTGTGTTAGAGGTTAACGGTTACATAGCAACGGTCGCTAGGCAACGAAAATTGCAAAATAATTTTACTGAAAATTTTGTGTTTGGGGCTAACGGTTACATAGCAACGGTCGCTAGGCAACGAAAATAGCAAAATAATTTTATTGAAAATTTTGTGCTTGAGGCTAACGGTTACATAGCAACGGTCGCTAGGCACCGAAAATCGCAAAATAATTTCACTGAAAATTTTGTGTTAGAGGTTAACGGTTACATAGCAACGGTCGCTAGGCAACGAAAATCGCAAAATAATTTTACTGAAAATTTTGTGTTTGAGGCTAACGGTTACATAGCAACGGTCGCTAGGCAACGAAAATCGCAAAATAATTTTACTGAAAATTTTTTAGGGTTTGTAGGGTTAGGGTTAACGGTTACATAGCAACGAGGTTAACGGTTACATAGTAACGGTCGCTAGACGACCGTTGCTATGTATATGGCCATATTTTTGTATGGCTTCCTTCCCACATCCATTGCTCTCTCCCTGTCTAATGTCTATATCCCTCTCCACTTCACTCCATTTCCCTCACATCACACTCGCACATTGCTCCGGAGACTCGCACATTGATTCTGCATATCCATGTGAGTTTTTAACCGGGGTC